GGGGGGGGGGGGGGGGGGGGGGGGGGGGGGGGGGGGCGTCGAACACACGCTCACAGCGATTTGACCGTGTTCCATTCTTTGATTGTCTCGCCCATGGTTTCCATGCTTTGCATAACGTCGACGTAGGAGGGGCACACTGGGTGAATCAAAAGAAATGGAAAGTGCTGTGTGTACATCTGTCGTCGTGCAGAGAACAAACTTGCGTGCCGAAACAGGAATACTCCCGGACGTTACTTCGATTTTTCAATCCGTGCTTGCGTTCCAACTTTTCTGTTAATCTCTTGGAGTACGACGTTGTGTGCACCACATCTAGCCTGCGACATCAATAAAAGAACATCAATGTCCCTTCTCCTGCTGGACCCCAGCTCATGCGACCAGAAAAAATATCGACATGTACATAAGCGTCACACCACACGCCCAGCAAATAAGGCACAGCATAGAGACACATACACACACCAGACACATCTACTCAAGAACAACGCACCGATGACAGTCTTGAGCGCGCCCTTGTACGCCCCTATGGCCTTCTTGGTGCCACTCTCGGCCTCATCGATCAGGGCGTGGCCGACCCGCAGCACCTTCTCCTGCGCCGCGGAGATGCCCTCGACCACGTGGCGCAACTTCGCCTCGGCCCCGGCCTCGCCGCCGCCGGCCTGACCGAGGAGTTCACCGCCGAACTCTTCGGCAAGCTGACCGTGAGGATTGGTCAGGCGTTCGAGGTCTCCTCCCATCTTGGCGACGGCTTTGAGAGACACCGAAAGCCGACGGTCCTTGAGAATCTCCATGGCCGCCTGCCGGACGTGAGCGTTAGCGTTGCGGGAAAAACGCGAGGCGAGGTGGCAACAACAAAAAGATAACATGATGGAACTTCGTTTTTTTGCAAGTGACGTCGATGGGGGATCGGGACAGGTCTTAGCCAGGTCAAGAAAAAAAAATCGAGCTCTGATTGATCAAAGACAATTTGGTATCAAACCAAACTAAGGGAGCAGAGCTCAATCTTGACTTGGCCACAATGAAACAAAAAGAAAAAAAACTCCCAACACGTGTTTGGGAAGAATTTCATATTAAATCTTAGCATGGTCATGGAGTTTCGTACCTTTCAAAAAAATCAGGCCCATTACCACGCGTTTGATACCGTACCTGAACCATGGATTCTTGGAAGAGAAGGCGGTGGTACTCTGTCTCCGCGGTCTCCCTCCGCCTCTCGCTCATTTCCACTGCGTTTCCCTGGGTTGCCGTGATAAGCCACTCTAGCTCTTCGTCGTCCTGCAGTTGAAACCGACCAATCAACCGGCCGCACCGGAAAAACCAACAACAAATCATCCAAGGGCAAAGACATGTGATCAAGAGAGAATCGCTCTAGCCCCCTTACGGAACACACAGAAGGCAAGCAAAAACGGACACACGAGACAGCAGGCCCTAAAGAGCAACTGGAAAAGGACGGCACGTGGGCACGATAGGGAGGGACACATAGTGGAAGCAAGAATCGGCAACGAGCGGCATGTACGTCTAGACGAAAAATCGACATGACTATTTCATAGACAAGGCGAGGACAAAAACGCTCGAAAAGCCAGCCGGAGAAAAGACGACGACAACTCGGGTTTGCTCTGGCTTTCCTGTGAGCATCACAGCACAGCACAAGGAAGGGAGGCCATCACCGCCATACCTCCGAAGGCTGGCTTCCTGCTGATGCACTTATTTCCGATGTTATTTCGGCCACTGCTGCCTAAATCGCTACGGCCACTGCTCCAAAATACTGCAGCCGATAAAAGAAAAGTGTTGGGGAAAAAAAAATGCCATCACCTTTCCCGTGATCTTTTTCAAGATCTCCAGCTGGAGCACGGTCTTCTCCCATGTGCCGAGAGATGGAAGACCGCCCCCCTCTTCGCCGCCGTCGTTACTGCAGACCTTCTGCTGGACCTGGGGGACCACCTTGTCCATCGTACTGGAGGAATTGCTACATGGAGACCCTGGTGTCGCTGGTGCCCTGACGTCATGCTCCCGGGCAGTGCTAGTGGAGGCAGAGAACCTGTTGCAGAAAAATGATGATGGCATCGGGACAGAAGACATAGGGTAGCGTGTGAGTGATTCGGTTCCCAAATCATGTCTCAAGATCCCGGAGGCGAAGAGAAAGAACAAAAATGGTGCGGTACTGATTTCGTTCCGATGCCGTTTCATAAGGAATTAGCCGCACGTGTCGCACGCGAGTAGACCGCCGAGGGAGGTGCGAAACGGCACGGACAATACGGCGAGAGGGGGCCGCGCTTTGGCGAATGTGCCGGCACCTAACTCACAACACGCGACGAACAACGCCGAATGTTCCTAGAAGGATCAACTCTCGGCGTAGACTCGACCATGCGACGGCAAAAATACCCACACGAGTACACCCATCACGCGTAAAACTGTTCTTTCGGTTCACCTGGGTCGTTGACGTTTCTTGCTGGGACTTCTCCCACTCCCGGCGGTCACACCACCATCGCCCCCACCGGCTACACGGTCACCGCCGCTGTTATCTCCTCTGGCCACCGTCTTCGACGTAGCACCCTTAGGCCTCGGCGACTTCGACCTGACCGTCGTCGTTGCCTTCGAATCTATTGTCGTCGCAAGGCTCTTGGGCCGCGGCGACTTCGATTTTACCGTCGCCGTTGCCCTCGAATCCGCTGTCGTCGCAACGGTCTTAGGCCTCGGCGACTTCGATTTGACCATTGTCGTTGTCTTCGAACCTTTTCTCGCCCCCGCCCCCCCCGCCCACCCCAC